ACGCAACGGTATCCGATATCGACATTGTCGACCGATTACTTTGAATATTATAATTACCATCTCCAAGTGACAATTACTGAAGCTACATCAGAAAGCGCCAAAAAGGCGTTTAGCATCGGTGATTCTATCATGCTATCGCGTACCCCCATATATTGTGTGAGATGTGAATATTCCCTCATTAAAATAGATTAACGTAAAATGAAGTAATCGCGCCCTCTGTTTTTTTAGTGCCAGTTGGTGTGGCCAGTGGATGTAAAGTATGTCACAAGTAAAAATTCTAAAGTAGCTATTTTTAACAGCCCATTTGCGAAAGTTGTGGATTCATTCTAATGGAAATTTATAAAAACAGTTAAATTTTTCTAAAATTTGTTGTTTTTCTCTCTGAGCTTTTAAAATGCTAATACATAACGGTGGCTGACCCGTTTGCTTTACCAATTAATATTCAGTAATTCCATAAAATTGAACGTATATACAGTAGATTATGATGGCATTAAGTATAATAGGCTTATCTTTCAGCTTTCGATAGTGCGCCAGTTATAATAAATGTTTTTTTCTGGCAAATTACTGCAGTTGAGAGCATATTTTTGCTTGCTAATTTCGAAGTTATTTTAAACTTAGTTGTCATGAAGTTAGTGAGGTAAAACACTGTTAACATCAGTTTACGCTGAACGCCTTGCTGTACAACCAGTTTTGAGGTCGGTGTAAATAAGGCAAATGCTGGTCGTTAGAGCAAACCTTTGAAGGATTTGTTTGCATTTACTGGTATAAAGTTTATAGGGGTTATCAAGTAACGCCATAGAGGTAGGTCAGCTGTGAAAAGTTGCTCTATATCGTTTGCAGTATGTAACTGAGGTAATACCGTGGTATGCTGTTATCAATGGTTAGGGTATTAAAATTCTATAATTCGTTGACAATTCGGAAATTGAAGTAAACTAAAAAACAAAGTTATACGCTCTCAAGAATTATCCGACCAATATAACTAACTGAAGTCAGAGGTAAACAAGTAAAGTCAGACAATATCAGAAAGAGCACTTGAAAAGGGATGGACGTCTTTATTTTGAGCTGGTTCAACCTTGAAAATGTTTGTGTCGATAACCTCAAAAACGGCATCCTCGAACGCATTTACTTGTCTTCACCCGGTCTCAGCAAAGGGGACAGTTGTAATGAAGTGTCCTATTAAAAAAAAATACCAGTGTATTTGATCTCATGTTATCCATGATATGCTCTATGTTTACTCCATAAACTTAGATATTTATTTTCATCGTAGCTATGGCTTGTTGTGTACATAGTTAGAGTATTCTATGCGATGGAAGTTACAATTCAAATTGATCGTTCCTCGACAATCGCAATGTATAGGCCTGTCATTAAATTGAATCAAATATTCCCATTGTATCTGGCAGGTGGCGCTGAAACCGAATTGCACGATCATCGTACCCAGGTAAAATTTCCCAGGATGACTATTTTAGCCGCCTGGTGTACCTCTGTTGTTTTCATTAACTTGTTGTTGTTTTTGATTAGATGCGTTCAGTCACAGGGCTGGAGAAGACACATGTCCGACAGCGCCCCCTTCACTATTTTCGTGCCGTAACAAGTTCTGCCGAGACAAAAAGAGTTGTTTGCGAAGTGCAAAGCGAACTTTCATTAAGCGTTAAAACTTGCCAGTTCTGCTTGAATCACTTCAATAGCAGAAATTTTAACTTCGGCACCGAACTACGCTTCGAATGTTTAGGCAGGCACTCCTTAAGCAAGATGCAACACAGTCAAGTGCTCTCTGCACAGCTGGGAGTGGCCTAGATAACCGTTGTCAACCGTTTGTGAAAAATTGAAAAGGAATGGAAAAAGCGATTAGTTCCCATACACTCAGTCGGAGTGAGCAAACAAATATCTGCCGATATGTGTTTCATTCTATATAAGCGCCACTTCTATATGGGCGATGATAGATTGACCCCTAAACGCAGACCTGAATGGTTAGACATTATTTCCAGTTGGATGCCACGAAACAATATGCATTTTTAAAAGTTACACCTCTCCGTATGGCGGGATGAGAAAAGAGCGTTAGACTATGGGCTACTCAAACCTTAAAGAAGAAGCCCGTTACATAAATTAACTTATCTGTCTGAACCACGAATGGATAGTTTAAGGCTTGGACTGGCACAGGGCGAGGCAAAGTTATATTGCTGCATCACAACGCTCTGCCGCATACGGCTTTAGTAACTTAGCAAGCGCTAACGAACCTCCAACGGATAACTTTTTTCACTTAGCGTTCAGTTCGGACGTTGCTTTATCTGATCTTTTGGTCAGTGTGGCATAGCCAGGAAAACAAAACAGAGCCCGAACTCCGCAAATGATACGGAAAAAATCGCTTTTAAAAACAAAGATGTACTTTCTTTTCAGACTACATTAGGACTACAAAAGAGTCCTAGAGAGCAACAGACACTACTTTGATCAAAATTTATTCGCTTGCTCAAACGTTGCAATAAATCAAAGTGACTAAAAAATAATGAAAATTTTCTAATTAAACTGGAGTTTCGGAAGTCCCTAAGGTGACCTATGTCTTCTACCAAGCCGCTAACGCCTAATTTGCTATCGAAGAGACGCATTTCAGATTTGCCCGTCGACCAAGGCTGTACAAAGTTGGCTATAAGATCGATTGATGTAAACGACTCCAGGGGATGAAAACTAAGATCGGAAAGTCTGGTTAGTTACCTCCATGAAGACTTGTGAGCAGTAACTGTGCATTCGCGAAAAGGATGCGTCAGAAAACAGTGTGACGAGAGAATAACATATGTAGTTTGTGAAAAATCTGGCTAATGAGAGATGATGGAGGGTGACGAATTGGGAAAATGGAAAAGCTAAGTATGGTCGGTACACAAAGGCCTCGGCGACTCTGAGTGGGTTTGGTATTGTATGACTAAAAATGATATATAGTGGCGCCAGCCACCCAGCCCCAGTTTGATGGAGTTGTCAGATCGAATTATTAGATCCTATTCGTCGAGCCATAACGTCTTCACTACTTCCGCACTTTTACTTCACAAGAAAACTGTTATAAGTAAATCTCTACCCAGATGAGTTCATGGTTGTAGCTACGCACAATGTTATATTTTTGTAATCAATTATAATCAATAACTTAAGTGGAGGGTTAGAATAAGTGGAGGAGAACATGGTTTGATTTTTCTCAGAAAATATTCTATATGGTGTTAAAAAACATTACATTTTTTCTGCCTCTCTAAGACCAAAGCCTGTAGCTGTTGCTGTACAACGCTTGACCGTCAGAAAAGGGCTTTATACTCCTAAAAAAGAACAAAACAAGTTATCCAATATCCGTATCGTTTCCGTCAAATAAACAGATAGTGCATCTAAGTCCTGTTTGACTCTAGAGTAAAGAAACCTATTTTTATTGGTGCCTCCTATACTGCGTGCGCTACAACGCCCAGTTAGAAAATAGGACTGAATAGCCGGGTATCCCGCGAGCGTTTTTATTAAACTTTTAGCCTAATGCGAGTGGCTTATTAATACTGGTGCAAAGAAAAACCGTGACACTTGAACCGTATTTGACGTGGAGACCTTTAACCAAACTATTTCTCTCCTTTAAAAGCATGATTACCATGATACCGGACAATATAAAACGATTACCTACAAATTTAACTTTTTGTAGTACCCTAGTAATAGCCCCTAAGACAAATTTATTTTTAGGCAAATAATGGTAAAATTGAATCTTCGGAGGCCCTGGGTTTAACTATTGATGCCTTAGATTGGCGTGGAGCAATCTGCATACCGTACGTTTATAGACGAAGTTTATCACTTGCTTGCATAGAGGAAGCACGTAACGAGAATAACTCAGATAATAATTACAGAGTAAACCCAATTCACCATCTACTTAAATAGGACAATGCCATCATAATCTATTTAAGGTGGTCAATTGTTTACGACCCAATCCGTTGTTTGTTCGTGTGAGTCTTCTATTTTTCATCGATCGTTTTGCCAACATGTTTTGCAATTACAGTATTTTTGTATATGTGTACACATTATATTCTAGAACAGGCATGCAATTCATACTAGCTCGACACGGCGGAACAATATTGTTCGCAATAAGCGTTCCATATAGGATAAGATAGATTTGTTTGTTCGTCGCTAGGTAGTCCGTCAAACAGACACAAAGCTAACGCAAGACGAACAGCACGGTATGGCATACCCGTTCAGCCGGTGGCGTTGGCGGCGGCAGCGACGGTCGGCGACAACAACCTGTTCGTTCTCTTGTTCTAGGAGTACCGGGATTTGGAGATTGGCAGCGGGGTCCGGGGATCGGCTACTCCTATGCTAGCCTCCCATAGCAGCATTAGTAGCGAAATCATCTTTCCTTTGGCTTATATCAGTGGCGCTAGTCATCTGTCGCGGACGGGGCAGAGGGGGAGTCTCGGCTCGATCACTAGGTCGGTCCTTCTTCCTTCCGTGCTTCACCGTCCTGTGTCAAACCCTTAGGCCTATACTACTCGTGTACCGACAGGCGGCTTGGCCGAGAGAAAAGCGCTTCGCGGTCGCCTCCGTCAGGGGGATATGGAAAGGTCGTAAGAAGAAGCCGTTTGCGTCCCTCTCCTACACTGCTGCTGCCTCACTCAGAGGAAAAATTGGATGGAAAGGCGACTAGCCGGCTACGCTGGCTGTAGGACCGACCAGCACCAAGTACTGTGTATCCCGGGACGCTTCAGGGTCGTTTAGGGAGAAGGGGCCCTCAACAGCCTTGGGTTGATCCGAGATTCCTCCTTACGGCTCTCCTGCCGGCGGAACTAGCGGAACACAGCAGACAGACAAACAGCAGCCTCACCGTGGCCCACAATGTAAAGAGCGCGCGCACACGTTAGTTACGGGGGTCTCAGACAGGGGGCGCTGCGTGTACGTGGGCGGCGCTTTAGTAGCTCGAGTTCTGGAGCACATGGCATGCAGAGTTCTAAGAACGGACGAGCGCCCGGCCAGAGTCCGTGCGGTCGGACGACAAAGAGGAGGCTGCGTTGTCGTGTCGTCCAATTGTTGTAGTGTTACGGAACAGCACTAATTCCCATTGCTGCTGGTCATTCTGTTGGCACTGATCTAAGTCGCTGACGTTCGACAAAGTGCAGAGAGCATCGTTCTTTCGACTAGTACTCGTGGCGGCGAGTTTCTTGACCAAAATTTTCTCCCACAAAAGCCGTCAGCACAGCAGAAGGTATCGGATTGCAAAACCTGCTCTTATTAGTACCCTAACTTGTCACCCTGCATCGGTCAGTTTGCTAGTCGACATCAGCTGGAGCGGTAACATTTTATTCCTTCACCTATATGAAATACAGGGGAGAGTCAAGAAAGCAGAGAAATCAACAAAAAAGTAACAAGGAACAACAATAACAAGATCAACAACAGCGTGTGTTTTTGTGCGTGTCTTGTGGATTGCAGCTACGCGTTGATCTGCAGATGTGTGTAATCGGTTTACTCAAATGCTTATGATGAGTATGCTAATCGATGTGTGTGAAGTGAATGCTTAAATGTCACGAGTCATCATGAGGTTGGCACGCTCAATTGCAATGGTGTTTGCCTTTGAATTGAGGTGTTGTCGAGGTATGTTCAAGTGTTAGGGCATCGTATATAAACAAAGAGAATAACCCGAGAAAACGAAGAAACAAAAGGATCGAAGACTAGGGAAGATATCATTTGGTGTGTGCTTAGTGCATCTGCTGATATCTAATGTGTCCTGGTGAATTAAGGGACACAGTAAGATGACGATAATAATGATAGTGGTGATTGTGGACGGATATGAGCATCAGTTGCACATAGTGGACGATGCCTTGTAGAGTGTGGCCAGGATAGAGCGGGGCCACCGTGCACTGTCCAGAACCACTTCTGGACACCTGCTGGCTTCTTCATCTCACGAGGACGGGGTTAGAAGCCTCGTGGTGAAGTCGTTATGGAGGATTTTAACTTTTCAACAACAGCGGCCCCGAGGCGAAGAAAAATGAAAGCGCTAGCCCCTGGTGTACTTCTACTTCTCATCATAAAAGGTCAGTATACACAGCTTGTAGGTTCCACAAATCAATAGACTAGGTTATAGAGAACTATAGAAGGTGTTGCCAGTGAGTACTTTTTTGAGAAAACTCTACCGTATTAGATTTCCTTATCTGCCAAGGGCTGTTAGTGGCTCGATGATGATCAAGGATGATATTTCAATATGTCCTACGTAAAAAAACTGTACAAATTGAATTGTCAAATACAGGATAAGGACGATGTCGTCGGTGTAGTCTGCGAAAAAAAAAATCTCTAATCTAATTGATCTTTCGACGATTTAAGTAGATGATCCCGCTAAGATTATTTGTTAATGTCTTTATGTATCATCTATATATATATGTCATATATATATATATATATATATATATATATATATATATATATATATATAGATATGTATATAGATATATTACATTACATAATTTATAGAAGCTTATTTCATAATTTACTAGAAGTGCTTCTAAGTCTGTAATGGTCAAAATCAGGCGGATAATGAGCTATAGCAGACGAGAAACAGACGAGGCTTGTCGGAGTGAAATTGTGCTTGAAAAATATTACGTCGCATTTATAAAATTCGTTTATTTAAATGCAAGTCCATGGGTTGAAACATGTGCTGTCAGCCTCGTTATCTTCTATGCGGGTCAGTTTAATCATATCTAAAGGCTGCTGTTCTCTAAGAGAACTACTCCACCCTTTATGTATTGATTGACACGTTTGTCACAAACGTGCCACGATTTTATAATCTCACGTAGGAATGATTTAAATCGGACGGTTGCTGACGCTTAACTAAGGTTCAAGGTTTTTAACCTTGGCATAAATCAGCAGAAAATGAATGCGTTTTACTTTGGAAGAAATGCGCACGTGATGCATAAATTTATTTTACTTTATCTCAGCTTCGAGCATACTGCACGTCCATACATTGAGCAATACGGCGTTCACAGGCAAGAATCTGATTTGATTGATCATTTTTTTTTGTCATAAAACAGGGGGAATTTGCGCTCTTATTCAGGAAGCAGCAGGAATAGATTCCGATATCTTTGTGGCACCCAGCTGTTCTTAGGTCAACATATCGTATATTATTCGATAATCATTGGGGTTGCATTCGATGTTGACCATGATAAGCTGACGAAAACCTTCATAAGACACTTGGATTATTAAAGAGCCTTAACTTCTCTTTGCTATGGATAATAAAAACAAAATATACGGTGCAGTCCTCTAGACAGCTGCTACTACAGATAGCCATTTTTATTGAACTTCGTGTAAAATGTCTATACGTGCAATTTTCTTGCTAAATTATTTGTCGATGGTTTGAAGTTCGCTAAAAGTATAAAGACGATGAAGTATGCAGAAGATTATTGGAGTACATTTTAATTCACACACCTAACATTAGGTGTATGTACATAAAATAAAGACCACAGCTTTAGATGCGCTGATCACCATATCGGCGAGGCTGGTTCTATCTGTGTGCTCGCTTCTAATTTCCTCTAATTTGATCTGGAAGCCATAGATTTATACATTTTGCTACGTCACTACTACAACGTTCGCCAAACTGGCCAGTGTTAACGATATCAATGCTTCCTTTTTTTTTTTTTTGTTTTAAATCGTGCAGTTTATTTGATAACGTTATTGAATTCCCGTATCGGATCGGGTTTGCTCAATGTCGCTTGCCAGATAACATCTTCGTACGTGTGGAAGCCTGTACTAGTCGATGTACTCTTGTGGTAAGCTACCTTACTATAGGTGAGCATTATTAAGTCAATATTACGTTGGTTACATGAAAGCTTACTGTGAGTATCCTTAATTGACGTCAGTTTTGCTGCTATGGCTACCATGTCTATAACGCCAGTATTAATATCCTTGTTCCTGTGTATATATTATATATCTTATGCATAAGAGACTACGATGCTATTTTTTTGAGGTTTTTGTCTTTTATCCGCCGCTGCCAGCTCATCCTTATCATCCTCCTTTCTTCCCGCATTCATTCGTGCCACATTTTTTCGACTGAGTTTTTCAACGACGACGTAGTCGACTGACTGAACTTCGTGATGCTCAGCCGCTTGGCGCTGAAGGGAGCCAAAGTTGGTTGGTTGGCTTTTTAGAAGAAAGAGGTCTTGAGTGTCGCCGTCGTCATTGTTTCGAATTAAGTGCACGTGTCCAGAATATTTACTCCCGTCGCGAGGGCTCATGTAAACCCGGGTTTCGGCTGCCCAAACAGTGTTACCACCGCGAGCGAGAGCAATATTTGGCTCTAGCAGCAGCATAACGCCAGTAACGTAGACTTAAACAGGGTATACAGAAACAGACTTTAAAACCTTTCTCCTTTTTGCCTTTCGGACTTAGGCGAGGCGAGTGGGTGTTAGGGTGGGAGGGTCGCTGCTTTTTCGTGCGACTCTAGCACCCCTCAATTCGAATGTCGGTCACGCAAATCTGATAACTTGTCCCTAGCTAATTCACACGGCGGACCATTTCGTACAGCGAGCGCTATACTACCATAGCTATTTAGTTCTCGTGCTATCTAGGTTAGCCTTCTGCCTAGAAAATGTCTTTGTCATGTCCCGAAGGTTGCGCAAGTTCAATGCTTTTTAGACGTTTCGCCTCGTGTGTTGTGGCGATCCAAGGTAATTGACTGTTAACCAGTATCTATAACAGCTTATCAGCGTCCGGCTTGAGTGCGACAGCCTCGTTTCGTGAGTCTTCAATCTAAGGTAGGGAAATTTGTCAAGGCTATTTGGTAGGGCCTTGGGATCGAAACCTTGAAAACCAACCTCGATAACCGTAATAGTTTTTAAGGGTACGACGCACGCTGTGGTTGCAAAACCAGCTTTAAATTATCTCATACAATCAGTATCTAACTGTGTCTGTAAGTGGAAAGTGTCCGGATCTGTTCTGAGTTGCGTTGATAGCTTATCGTTTAGTGCGGGGCCGCTGCTTACCGTTGTTTCGGGGTCAAACAGTTCCCCTCGAAGAATAGGAGACGAAAACGAACCACGAAGCAGAGAGCCTAAGTTACTGTGGCCATCTCAACCAGAAGGTTTACTTGCTGCCACTCTTTCGATCTTACTCACTTATTGTGGTGTGAAGAGACGTATGATGGATGGAAAAAAGGGGCAGGCCAAAGTGACTTTGTCGCTGTTTTTCTTGTATTGGTGTAATGTGGTAGGAGAACTCTTTTAAATTATATTCGCTTCGCTAAATGATAATACATGGCGCAGTATTTTCTCCGGTTGAAAATAATTTTTACTCGTGTTTATTATCGCTGCACGGGCTAATTCAATAAAACAACTAGATATTTTAGATACAGTTATGGAAAGCTGCGTAGAGAAGGCTGGTCTTTCTAGCATTTAATGACCGGAAGTGAGAGAATATTTATTTCATTTATATTTAAATATTTATTATTTTATTTAGGCCAAATGGTATTATATGTCCAATAAGACGTATGATTTTGGTAGACTATGTTTTACAGTAGCCTCAAAAATAACAAAAGTCAACTATGAAAAAACATAAGTTAGAAAAGTAAGCGCATTCTTCAATAGCAATTGTGTTGTTTAATACATACTTACTAATTAAGTCAAGGATAAAAACTTCAAGCAGAAATTTTTAAAAAGGTTCTTTTCTATTTACTAAGACTATCGTTTATAATAGCCAGTCAGCTTCCAGAACGTTGCGTGATTTTGGGACACCTAAACCCAAGCGCATAACGTTTGAATTCTCTAGCGCTCCCAATTAGAACGTGATACGGCAGCGTATTATAAAACGAGCCTGACTTCGTTTTCCGGTTCGTACCCGTGTGTAAATTTATATTCCATCACGATATAGGTCTTGTTGAGTTCCGCGTGCCCTCAGTGACCCGCTGATAGCCAGTGCGGTTTGGCCAATACCATAAAATTTTTGGCGACAACTTGTACGTTACCGGTAAACTCGAACACTTGTGAACGGCCGTTGCTGCTAGGACGACGAAGTATATAACGACCGATCGAGGCCAAAGCGTTGCCCGAGATTAAGGAATTGCAAGGTTCGTTTTGAGTGTAAAACTTTTCTGATTTGCATGTTATTGACGCTACGTCGGAAACGCATATATCCATCTGATGAGCAAAGACTGTACCGGCATGAACCACCCAACCCAGACGAACCCCAATCGCTGTTGTCAGCTTACGCGCTGTGAACTTTTCAGTTGATATGTTGTCGTTCGCACGTTCTTCTTTTCGCTTCAACAACACGTAATCCACGTCATGTTTTGAATGGTCGAACACACTTGCGCTCCAACTAAATAGAAACACGTAGCCGTGATTTTGCCAAGAGAGAAAAATGGCATGCGACTGTGTTAAAGAGAACGGTCGCTAACGAGAGAATCGTGTTATTTCTTCTAGTTCATGAGAATTCAACCTGTTGATAGCTTAGAATCTGTATCGGCGAGGTTTAACCATGCGAACGTCATAGGGTTAACACCATGGACAGTTGGACGTTTGTATTAAACAAATGCGACGATAACGAAGGACACATGTATGAGTTAAATAGCAAAAAAAAATAGGGAAACGGTGAAAACAAGGACCAGAAGAAAAATCAACGGTAACAGGACACCGATGTAATCAGTTGATTGAAGCTATTCAACGTTCCTTCGTCGTGTAAACTATTTATCTGCTGTTACATAAGTAGTTTGCACAGATCTATCTCTATTTTCGGCGGTGAAAACATACCTCTGTTTTCAATCAGACGAACAAAATATATGACACAGTAGCTATAATATTAATAACCTATTACTAGGCGATGTTTAGAAGAGCGCTCTACATTTGGGTTCCGCGCAATCGATCGTGGGCAGTACACTATATATTTTACAAATTCCTATATATAGGTTATTTAAATCGTATGCTCTGCCCACCAGACGGCGGTGTTCACCGTGTTGAAATTGCTAAAGGGAATTTCTCAAAGCAAACTCAAAATTAAGACGGTTCTGGTCTCTCTTTCGTCGTTCTGACTGACTTGCTTTTTTAGCTAACAT